ACTTTTCATCTTAAAGAGCTGTAATTGTTAAAATTAGGCCTGATTTTAGCAAAATTTCACTGTATATCGGCACAAATACGCACAAAGTTCACTATGTTTGATGCATGCCCACAGCATTGTTTTGGCCATAAGGTGATTGAAAAGATCGAAAACTTGTAAAAACAATGTCAGGAGCCCAAAATGTGACAAAAAAACTTAATTTCTAGCTACCATATGTGCTGCGCGCGTAAAAATGCGCACACGTAGTGGTAAATTTTGGAAAAGTTTGAAATGCTCAAAATGGCGTGTAACATGCTCTAAGAGATCTAAAAGATCCTGACAATAACAAGAGGCTCGAGAAGCGGACCACCAAATATGTAATTGCTGACGCACCTGTACGTGCACGTTAAGACGTGCGAACGGAAATTTAAGATACCTGACATTCAACCTTGCCCTGAAGTATAAGCCCAATTAATATGATTCAGAAATGATGAATGGTTAAGATGATATGACGTCATCAACGTTTTGAAGAAAGAAAGGTGAAGGGGTCAGAAAAAACATTTATTTTTACCATGATGACCTCATCAAAATGTAAAAAGAAGTCACATATGAAAGAAAATTGTCTTAGCTATAACATACTCAAAGTTGGGAGATGATCGACCAAGGATAAGCGAGATACGCTTAAATGCGTATTTTCAATAGTGACGTTATCAATAAAAATCAGTTTTGTTGAATTCAGATGGCAATATGATGATGTCACAATGTCCGATCTATAAAATCAAATTTACAACTCGTGTGCTTTCAGAATATGTAATAAAAATTGGGGGGTCACTTTTCATCCTAAGGAGCTATAAGTGATTAAAAATAGGCCTGATTTTAGCATATTTTCTCTGTATATCGGCACAAATCCGCGCAAAGTTCCCTATGTTTGATGCGCACATACGACATTGCTATTGGCCATAAGATGACCGAAAAGAATCGAAATATGTGAAAACAATGTCAGGAACTCAAAATATGTAAAAAAAACCCCTAATTTCTAGCTTCTGTACGTGCTGCGTACGTAAAAGTGCGCGCGTGTAGTGGAAAATTTTGAAATTCTCAAAATGACCTGAAACGTGGTCTAATTTAGTCAAAAAGTTTTCGAGCATTTTAAAATTTTGACGCACGCATACGCGCACATTATGAAGTGCACGCCTAAAATTAGGGTACATTACATTCAACATTGACTTGAAGTTTATGCTCACTTAATATAGATAGTGACTATTCCAGGCAAAGCCAAAATGATCGATGAAGTGACCGTGTGCGTAACTCGTAGCAATTTTGAGATATCGTGCTAACAGAAATGGGGAGAAAGAAAAAAAAGATGACTAGATTTGAACTCGTCACTGATGACGAGTTCGGTGGTGATCCGCCGCAGATATTAAAAAATATTCATGAATTTTGTTAAGTGTCTGTTGGTCGGTAATGCCAAACGAATTTACCCTTTGTATGAACTTTATTTATATCAATCCAATAGCGCCGAAATAGTCTGCCGCCCTCTGTCTGGAACTTCATGAGTCGGTAATGCCATATGACATGAACTATATAAATATCAGTCTGATAGCATCGAAATACAATCTGCTGCCCACTGTTGCACAGAATATGAAAAAAGAAAGATGAGGGGTTAAAAAATCATTCATTTTGTTCATGATGACGATCAATCAAGGATAAGCAAGATATTCTCTATGAGTATTTTAGAAAATAACGTAATAGATAAAATTCAGTTTTTTGAATTCAGATGGCAATAAGATAACGTCACAATGTCCGATCAGCCAAAATGATCTATAAAATCATATCTACAACTCATGTGCTTTTAGAATATGTAATAAAAAATGGGGGTCACCTTTCACCCTAAATTTGCAGTGTTTGGGTCAGGAAAAAAACCCATTTCATTTTGATCATGATGACATCATCAAAATGTAAAGGTCACGTTTATGAAAGAAAATTGCCTCAGCTAAAACACACTCTAAAGACTTGAGAGATCGATTAAAGATTAGTGAGAAAATCTCAAATGAATATTTTAACAAATGATGTCATAGACAAAAATTCATTAAAAAAAAATGTCAGATGGTAATGTGATAATGTCACAAAGTCCGATCAGCCATTATGATCTATAAAATCATATCTACAACTCATGTGCTTTAACAATAAGTAATAAAAATTGGGGGTCACCTTTCATCCTAAGGAACTATAACTGATTGAAAATAGACATGATTTTGGCAAAATTTCAGTGTTTGTTGACAAAAACGAGCACAAATATTCATAATTTGATGTGCGCGCAAAGCATTGCTATTGGCCCTAATTGAATGAAAAAGAATGGAAATATGTGAATACAGTGTCAGAAACCCAAAACTTGTAAAAAAACGAAATTTCCAGCTCCGTACGAGCTCCGCGTATAGAAATGCGAACGCGGTGCAGAAAATTTGAAAAATGTTGAAATGCTCAAAATGGTCTGAAACGTGCTCTAATTTAGTCAAAAAGTGATTTTGGGCATTTTTAAATTTTGATGCATGCGTGCGCATGCGTTATGATGCGCAGGCAAAATATTTTGGTATGTAATATTCAACATTGATCTGAAGTTTATGCACACCAAATATGATTTAGAAATAACAATTGGCAAGGATATGATCGATAATGTAAAATACGCAAAATTGCGCGTAGATTACACCACGTGTGATTGAACACATTAAACAGGTCACATTGACTATTCCATGCCAAGCCAAATGTTCGTTGAAGCGTGCATGAACATAACTCACGGCAATTTTGTGATATCGTGCGAACAAGAAATGGGGAGAAAGTGAGAATTAAAAAAAAAACTAGATTTGAACTCGTCACTGAGGACGAGTTAGGTGATCCGCCGCACTTTGACCCTCATTAAGATCATGCGGTGCTGATTGAAAAGTGTCATAATATGCTAAAATATGCTGTAATTAGTTTTTTTTAAAAAGAATAATTTTGAGCATTTTAAAAGATTTCCGCATGTGTACATGTACGTCTTCACGCCCGTGAGCACGGTAATAGCGCAAAGAGTGACTCCTGATATGAATAATGTGTCAGGAACACAAAGTATGTAACAAAACATGATTTCCAGCTTTAATATGTGCTGTGTGCGTGGAAATTAACGTACGGCGGGTAAATTATGGAAAGTTTTGAAATGCTGAAAATGACCCGAAACGTTCTTTAAACTATCTGAATAGTAATATGGAGAATTTTCAAATTTTAACAGACACGCACGTCACCATGTGTGCGTGTACAGTACTAGCACACAAAATTAAACATTGTCAAGTGTATTTAAAACCGCCTGTTAGTTGGTAATGCCACACGAACTTTCCCTTCAAATAACCTATAATATTAGTCTGATAGCGTCGAAATACAGTCTGCCGCCCTCACTCTGTTCTACTGTTTTACATCTTTTAAGAATGAGAGATAAAAGGGCTCCAAAAATTCATTCTTTTTGACCCTGTTGACCTGATCAAAATGAAAAATAAAGGGACATGTCTTCAAGAGAATTGATTTAGCTGTAACATACTCACAGGTGTGAGACAATCAATCAAGAATAAGCGAGATACGTTCAAACGAGTATAAACATAATGGCATCATAAATAAAAATTCAGTTTTTTAATTCAAATGCCAATATGATGACGTCACAATGTCCGATCAGCCATTATGATCTATAAAATCATATTTACAACTTATGTGCTTTCAGAATATGTAATAAAAATTGGGGGTCACCTTTCAACCTAAGGAGCTATAACTGATTAAAAATAGGTCTGATTTTAGCATAATTTCACTGTATATAGCGGCACAAATACGCGCAAAAATACCTATGTTTGATGCGCACGTACAGCATTGACATTTATTGGCCAAAAGATGACCAAAAAGAATGCAAATTTGTGAAAACAATTTCAGGAACCCAAAATATGTAAAAAAAACCTAATTTTCAACTTCCATACGTACTGCGCAAGTAAAAGTGCACACGCGTAGTGGAAAATTATGAAAAATTTTGAAATGCTCAAAATGGTCTGAAACATGCTCTAATTTAGTCAAAAAGTAATTTCGAGCATTTTAAAATTTTGACGCATGCGTGCGCGCGTTAATAAGCGCACACGTAAAATTAGGGTAGGGTACAGAACATTCAACATTAACCCGAAGTTAATGCTCACTTAATACGATTTCGAAATGGCAATTGTTAGGCTGATATGATCGATAATGTAAAAACGCAAAATTGCGCGTAGTTGATGTCACGCATGACTGAGCGCGTTGAAAAGCTTACCATGACTATTCCAGACCAAGCCAAATGTTTGCTGACAGCGATTGTGCGTAACTCGTGGCATTTTTTGAGATATCGTGCAAACAGAAAAGGGGAGAAAGAAAGAATAAAAAAAAGATGATGATGATGATCCTGACAATAACAAGAGGTGATCCGCAAACGTTAACGGATCACCAAAAAGATGATGATCCAGTAGTAGTACAATAACAAGAGAGAGGTGATCTGCTAGAGTAGCGGATCACCAATGATGATGATGATGATCCTGACAATAACAAGAGGTGAAACAGCCCACACTTATCACTTAAAAAAAAAAAAATAGATTGATGAGACTAATAATTTTTTCTATGTGCCCTTGGAGCCCTAGCCTGGCCCTAATGCAGATGCCGCCTAGGCCTAGGAAAGCTAGAAAGAGGCCTAGGCCTAGGCTAGCCCTGTGTCAATGTGTTTACATTGTTCGGTAGTCTACTTCAGAACTGATACGATTTTTTGGATCGGTTCGGTAGCCTTTACGATCCGAAAATTCGGATTCGATGTGAACGCAGCTTAATACTCATACTATTACTAATATACTAGCCTAGCAATAGGCCTAGGCCTAGCTAGGCCTATGTCCTGTGTGCGACTTTCTGCTGGTTCCGATCATCTGATATCATGATGATACCGGCATAAAAAAAAAACCGATGGGAAAATTTTGAAACTCTAATTTAATTATCACCTTGGGTACTTCAGGCGAAATTTTTAACATTACAAAACCACGTATCCTAACCTTGCTTCCCCTTATTATAGAGACTTTCAGGCCTGGCCGCTCTTTAATCTTTGCTGCGGTCACCATCAACCCGTGCCGACCGACGGCGGACGATCACACACACACACACGCCGCGAAAATCGTGGTCTGTCGCCCTCATCGTTAGATAGATCACTGGCTAAGTATATCCAGACGCACACGGCGCCCTTCTTTTTCCACTAATGGAGGAAAACTCACTAGAACTGTGCGTCCGGCCAGCGATTTTTTTTTCCGTACGAAACATTTGCATGAAACTTCACTCGGGCCATCTCGGATTGACTCGAGTGAGTACGATACGAGGAACAAGAGCAGACACTTCGCAATGTCGTGACGCTCGAGTTTTACTATTATTGCTCTTTCTATGTTTACCTACGGTAGGCCTATGAAATTTCACGGATGATGTACAGTACGTCACTGTGTAGCTAACTGTGACCTTCTTGGATGTTATTAAATGTTAGTATATTATCTACAACAACAGCAGCAGCGTAGTACCTCCTGTTATAAAGTGTAGATGGGTAAAGTTATTACCAAAGGCTAGAGAGAAAGAGGATAAACTAGAGGCCCTGTCTCCTATACACATCTAGATGTGTATAAGAGACAGGCCTAACAATGTTCAACAGATAAACGGCTAGCAATACTATACCTTGGCTGTTTAAGAATTACTGTATAAAATAATTAAGCTAACGGAACCATATCATATCTTTTTACACTTCACTCGTTTATGCCTTATAACGAGACGTTTAGAGCATGTGCATAGACCTATGTTTGTATTGTAAAAATTAATTGACACCTTGTGCGTTAATTGACACAATTTTCATTGTCGTTGGCTATGTAGGTCTACCTAATGTTCCCCTTAAGGTACAGGTAATAATAATAATAGTAATAATAATCATTTCAGCATTAATTACCTTGGCGTAAGGCTTGTAATGAAGAACCTACAGATACTATTTACTAGGCCTATAAATAATAACTAGGCCAAGGGGATTATCTTTTGTGTTATTTCCCCTTAACGTCGTTTTTTAAATTGTTCTCTAATTCTTCCATCGTCCAAGTTCCCCTTAACGTACAGGTAATAATAATAATACTTATTATTATTATCATTTCGGCATTACATGTAATTAACCTGTCTCTTATACACATCTAGATGTGTATAAGAGACAGTCATTATGGCATCCAGTATTTTAGAGCTGCCTATTCTCAGCTCTTCTCTTAATTTGAAAATAACTGTCACTCTGTTTCATTTGATCAGTGATGAAGAAAAACGCGCTCTTCCTTACTCTCTGTGCTTTTCCCAGATGCGTTTTTAGTAGGCCTAGGTAATTATGCAAAAACCCAGGCATAATTAAAAAAATTAAAATTGTCATAGTATGTAACTCAAGTTAAAATAACACTTTTCATTACTCGTGGAGCTTAATCAAATATTATATGTAATTTTATACGACCCATTGGTATTAACATGGTAACATCAATGTATTTTTCAAAATTAGACAGAGACGTTCTCTCAGAAGTTGTTCTGTAGACGTTTATCTGTTGACCTTTTGACCTCCTGAATTCTGCAATGAGATTTTCGGGTCGATTCAGCCGAGACGGCCCGAGTGGATTTTCATGTAAATGTTTCGTACGGAAAAAAAAATCGCGTCCGGCCATACGATTTTGCGCATTGTACTAATTGTACAATTGTGTACAATTTTTTAATTGAGAATTGACAATAAAGTACGCGACGACTTGGTAACGAAAGTTATTATTATTTTATTCTTTCTTTAGGCACACAACACATGTGCCAAGGATTGCCAATAGCGAATATATATCACTGTCCTACTTGTAGGTGACAATCCCTTACACAAGACAAACATACACACACGATGCTTTAACAAACTAAATCTCAATATGAGATTTAGGGAGTGGAGTTGTTTATGTCGTGAGAAAAAATCCTGCAACTGGCAGGAATTGAACCCAGGACCCTGGGATTGGAAGGCAAGCATCTTAACCACCAAGCTATTCAACTCCAGTTTAGTTGAAGTTTTTTTAGATTCAGCCGCAAGGGGCGGCCCATTGTTTGTATTCCCACCATGCATTTCGGTGGAACACTTTTTTTGTGTGGAGAACTCTATCTTGTGTTTCTAGTATCTTTGGTGCCTCCAACACAAAGATACTAGAAATACAAGATAGAGTTCTCCACACAAAAAAAGTTTTTTTGTGTGGAGAACTCTATCTTGTGTTTCTAGTATCTTTGGTGCCTCCAACACAAAGATACTAGAAATACAAGATAGAGTTCTCCACACAAAAAAAGTGTTCCACCGTGTTCCACCGAAATGCATGGTGGGAATACGAAAAATGGGACGCCCCCTACAGCTAGATCTAAATAAACTTGTGCCAAACTTTCGTTACAAAGTCGTCGCGTATTTTATTATCAATTCTCAACAAAGATTACTAGATATAAAAACAAACTGGAATAGACACCCAGACAGTGACATCGGTGAATACATAACCTCCTTGGTGGCGGTAGAAATCGTTGCTATTATCCAAATAATACGCAAAACAATTAAAGCATAATCATGAATCAGACAACAATACAGCGCAGAATCGCATGGCAGGACGCGATTTTTTTTCCCGTACGAAACATTTACATGAAACTCCACTCGGGCCGTCTCGGCTGAATCGACCCGAAAATATCATTGCAGAATTCAGGAGGTCAAAAGGTCATCAACAGATAAACGTCTACAGAACAACTTCTGAGTACGGAAGCTTAAAGTGACCTTCCGAGTTTCCGAGTTTCCAAGATAATTATCTTGGAAACATGGAATAAACACTTATTAAGACGTCTTTCCGAGATAATTTATCTCGGAAAGACGGAATTCCAAGATAACGTATCTTGGAAAGACGGAATTCCAAGACAC